GGCCCCTGTAAAGTGCTGGGCCCTTTGAATCTGCCAGGCTGTCCATGCCCCTTCTGTGGCCCCTGTAAAGTTCTGGGCCCTTTGAATCTGCCAGGCTGTCCAGAGTTTCATCATATTTATATTGCAATGTTGTGATGGGTTTTCATGGTTGTACCACCTGGCATGGAAACTAAACGAAAAGTTTCAAATATACAATTCTGGCAAACTTTTTTTTTTTTCTTTTAGTTAGTTAGTTAGTTAGTTAAATACCAATTTTAGTAGTTCTCTTGTTCATTCATTGTTCATTGCTCTATGTACATTTTTGAAAAACTAGCATCCACCAGTCCCTAGAGCTTTTGGGGTTACGGGCTTTTCTCAGGGGTCCAATGATGAAATCTGCTCACAAGCATGATGTCCTAACCTACTGAGCAACTCACTGCTCATGGATGGATGGATGGTCCTCTTAGTAGTGATTCCATTTTGTGTATAGATTAACTGACATCACTAATATTCACCCTGAATGGGATGCCAATCCTTTTTAGGGCTGACTTATCTTCAGCTGGTAACACTTTATATGGTAACGCTTTACATTAACTGCACCTTCATAATGCTTTTATATTGCATTCATAAAACGTTCAGTGCACCTTCATAATGTATTCATTAAGTATTCATAAAACATTCATAAACATCATGTACAGAATACCTCCATAATGCATTATATTGGTCGGCATAAGTTTATTTTTTGGAAATTGACCAATCCCAATCCCAATCCCAATCCCAATCCCCTGATATTATTTGCCGCCATGCAGTACTCGCCACGCTTGGCAGCCCCCTCCTTCAGATTATTACGGACCCTCATGCTGAATTGTTAGCAGCACTTTGACATCTCATCAAACAAGGCTGGCAAGTTTGTAAACATCATGTACAGAATGCATACCTTAACATCCTAACATCCCTTAACAGCTATAACACACATTAATGGCAAACATTATAATAGTATAATCATGTAATGTTTGTTATTAATGTATATTAAAGCTGTTAAGGGATGTTAGGATGTTAAGGCATACTTGCATGCTGCTTATGAATGTTCTATGAATGGATGCATAATGAATGCTTTATGAAGGTGCACTGAATGTTCTATGAATGCATAATGAATGCATTATGAAGGTGTAGTTAATGTAAAGCGTTACCAAATATTACTATTAAAATTCTCTGTTAAGCTGTAAAAACATTACTACTGTAACTATGATGCCTGATCTGGCCCAAGGTAAACATCAGTCCAGTGTGTTACTCTGGCTCCTGTAATAGGTTGCTAGGTAACTAAATAACCACAAGCCAACATATCCCCATGAGCAACTGTTAGGGTTTTAAACTCTTTAAGAACGGTCTGAAAACGAATTACCTACCTGGCAACTGTCAAGAGTCTTAGTGTTAATGTGTAAAAGAAATATTTCTATTGAGGTGTTCAGGAGGTTGCTCTATGTTCGTGTGTAATGTCACTTTCTAAGATATTAGCAATTTTTTTTTATGCAATTAGTATTGAACAGTTGATGTAATTTTTATTGATATGCTAACATTAATTTAACAATCTCAGTTCTTTTCACATAAAAATGGAATATGACAAAGTACATCAGAAAATGTAAGATCCCTGTCTAGAAATGTTTTTTTTTTTGTTTTGTTTTGTTTAAGCTCTAAACTTTATTAACCCCTTTGAGGAATATTTTAAGCTCTGAAGACTGTGTGACTAAAAAAAATCACTGAAGATTCTTTCTTATGTTTTTTGAAACTAACAAATTCACTGTAATCTAGAACCTGATTCATTTTGACACTGCTAATTAAAGTATAAAAATAAAGCCTAATGCCAGACTCTCACATTAGTACTTTTTTACCTAATTTGTAACATTAAACTAGAGGTGATTTTTTTTTTCTAATTATGCATTACAGTTCAAAGCAAAATATTACAAACACAATTGGTCCTCAGTGTTTTTATGAGATATGGTTGTCTGAACTGTCAGGGGGGTGGAAACAAGCACCTCTCCCCCGCAACAAAATTATGAGTCGGTTTCAGATAAAGGTTTATTGTTAATTATGTTTTTCTTTGTTCCTCAAGTCTCTGACCAGGATATCGGTTGGAAAATGCATGAATGTTATTCCTCGTTGTTGGACTGTGTCATTACATGGATTTTGGGACAGAAATGGCCAGCAGAGCAGGACTGTCCTGTTAATTTAAGGGATTTTGGCCTCCTTACAATTTGGACACATGGCTGGATCAAAAACGGTGCTGTGGTAAAATTGCCCTTCATAGTCATTTTGGTGATCAGTGCACTGTGCTTTGAGATTATTATAATGTCTGGCTGCATTTCACCATTCCAAAAGTATCTCTGTATGGCCTTGGGCCATTTTTATTGAAAACAAGTTCAAGTGGCTCTCAGTGAGGGAACCGGGCATTGGGAACGAGGCAGTGTCGCTCCACGGAAAGTTCCAGTAAATGAAAAAAAGCATGAGCTAAACTTGTTGGATTTGCTGCTTCCTCACAGTTGGGGGCTTGAATCCTGGCTCCACTCTATGTTTGTGGAGGTTGTATGGTTTACCTGTGTTACAAGGGCTCACGGTTAGGTGAAGTGGCGTCTCTAAATTGTACTTAGTGTGTGTGTTGGCCTGGCATCCCATCCAGGACATTTGCTTGCCTTGTGCCCTGTGCTGCTTGCGAAAGGCTTCGGCCTCGTCAAGATCCTGTACTGGTTATGTGCTTGTTGGATGGATGGATGGATGGGTGGGTTAAACTGGCCTTCTTGAGTAAAGCAGGAATGGATTAGAAATGTGCCCTATAAAATATTTGGTAACACTTTACATATAGCTGTCTTCTATAATACATTATAGATACCTCCATAATGCATTATATTGGTTGATAAGAAGTAATAAAGCCTTACAGCATCTTCTATTGACAATCATAAGGCATTATAATGTTGATTATAATACTTCATAAGCTCCAATGAAGCTCTCATCTATAATGCACTACAGATACCTTCATAATGCATTATAATGGTCGATATAAGTTGATTTTTGGAAATTGACCAATCCCAATCCCAATCCCAATCCCTTGATATTATTTGGCGCCATGCAGTACTCGCCACGCTTGGCAGCCCCCTCCTTCAGATTATTACGGACCCTCATGCTGAATTATTAGCAGCACTTTGGCATCTCGTCGAACAAGGCTGGCAAGTTTGTAAAGTACGCGAGAAAGTTTTGACGTGCTGGCGTTTCCCCTACCAGAGGTGCCACCGGCAGAAATGTTTGAGATACACGTACTTAGCTGAAGGCCGCGTTTTTCCAAGGTAAGCCGACATCTGGGAGGGAGCGCAGGGAATTCAGCTAGTGAGGTGCCGCGTTGGCGAGACCCCAGGGGAAGAACGCGGACGCGCGTCCTTCGCGGGCTTTCCGGCTGTCATGTGACGTTGCGGCGTGACCATCCTGGAGACGTGGGGAGTGGGAGTGCAGTCCTTGATGACACACGCCGCCACTGTGAAACTCCATGACAACTCTAACTAGAATACGCAAGGCTATGTGCCATTTTTAATATAATCATGTTTGGCTATGAAAATAAGCACATCTAGGGCAAATTCCTTCATTTTTTACTGCAGAAATACTCTGTGTTATATAAGCTTACATTGAGTATTTTTAGCAGCATGTAGAGAAAATTAAAAATTATATCCATTAATGCAATAAAATGTAATACGTATGTTACATGGAAACCTTAATTGAACACAGATGCATTCTGAATGATTATATTGGTCAGATATGTTCATAAGTTGAATACCTGCTGACAGCTTGATTTCAGTCATCGTTTTTTTTCTAAGTCAATGATTATGCTGTTGTTTATCAGTAAGACTCAGAGAGACCATAAACCATAAAGAAAAGAGATGCTGGCCTGGAGTCTCGCTGGACAGGAATCGATGATAACTGAGACAGCTGTTGGTAGGATTGGTTTGCTGTTTAATGGAGTGCAGAAAAGCAGCAGTTCTTAATAGGCGGCCGCAGTACAGCGACGTGGCAACCGGAGAAAGCAGGCTTTCTGCAGTCGCATGCAATCAGGAAGAGAAAAGTGGTAGCGGCATTATACTTTTTGGGGTCACGCAATGTTAAATGTTTCTGTCTCCTGAAAGCATATTACTGCATAGCGTGGGTACCCTGAAAATCCTACATGCTTCTCACAGTAACCTTGGAGAATTGATATTATAATAATGTC